AATTCATTATTCCTTTTTTTAGAAATTAGTTTTGTTCAAGCATTCAAGTTTAAAGTCGGTGCTTACAAGGAACTTAGCAAAAACATGATGGGAATGGGATGCCAGGGGAATAGATGATTCTCTCATCTGAAATGCATAATTAGCTCTTGGTTAAGTGTGCAATTAACATTAAAATTTACAATCAAGTATGACGGTGTTCTAATTTTACCTCCTTTAAATTAAAAAAATGAATCTAGTTACCAGCGTTACTTCTTTGAATCCCTTCCCTATGAGGCAAGCTGCACAGTAACATCCTGTCATCTGGGCGACAACTGATACAAAAAGCTTTTAAAAACACTGCATATTTGCCTTCTGGACAGCTACACAGCTTGAGTTTTATTTTGGTTTACACTTTTTTTGTTTTGTAATGGTAACTGCCACTCAACATAATTACCAGTTGTCATATTTCTGTTTGTAAAGATCCTTCCCACAAAAACGGAGCAATGTCACTTTGCACCCTCTTCCCAGCTGTGCCTGAAAGCTGTAACGCGTGTTTCAGACATCCGCTACAGCTAATCTCAGACCCCTACAGGTTTCAGCAGTTAAACCATAGAAACATTTTTGTTAACAGGAAAGAAAAAGCTACACTCATCCTAGCAGTTTAAATCTGGTAAGGAGCACCTTAAAAGAAAAAATCATACTACAGTCTAAATGTGCTGTCTCCATCTGAACATCACGTCCTTTCTGCCTCTTAACCTGAAGTTAAATTTAACCTCTATTTGCCTTTTAAAAAGGGGGTTGAAAGCAGTTTCAACTGTAACATCAGCTGCCAAACCATAAACTCCGTTTATTATTAGTCACATATATGTTTGTGTGTTATGTGTAGTATGTGCAACAAAAAATGAGACTCTATGGATTAGAGTGCTGTACAAAGGTATAACGGATGTGTAAGAAAATTCCTCACGCAAAACATATATTGTGTGCTGTGCAAAGTGTCGTGGCGTGCAACACATTTTCCATCAGTTAATCCGTGTTACTATCCAAAGAGCTCATGAAATTAACCTAGACTGGGCCAGCACAAAGGACCAGTTTGCCCCTCAGCAGTTAACCTCAATGCTGCATTGCTCAAGGGTTCTGCTGTTATTATTACTTACCACCAATAGACACACAAACGCACAGAAAAAAGGAGAAAAAAAAAAAAAAAAGAAATCTCACATTGCTCTCACCTGAAACCCAAATCACTTTTATTCAGTCACCTTGCTTCCATCTGGATGTGGATGAAGTGGCCTTCTCTAGCTGCTAGGCAACCTGAACGCTGCATGGAGTATTAACAGCATGCACTTGCTAAGAATATAATAATGTTACCTTTGAGATTTATTTATAATAAAAAGCATACCTAACTGAAAATATAATAGCTTTCCTCCAGTAATCAGTAATTAGCAACTCTGGGAACATAAAACTGCTGGTCAAGAAAGAAATAATTCACAGGTACACCCCAAATGCAAAGAGATATTATGAACTGGCTACTTACAAACACATCATAAGGGAGATGCTTTATATGAAAGTATTATATGGCAGTGGCATAAAAAAAATCTAATCTAAGAATTATATTTATGTAGATATTAGAATAACTACATAATATATTGATTTATTTACAAAAGTAATGTCTTAAATTAGAGGTGTTTAAATTACCAAACCTCAACCAACTACAAAATGAACTTTCTCAGTAAAAAGTCATTTATTCTTGTTACATAAAGCCACCATTCCTAAACAAGACAGAAAAGACTTGAAATTAAAACATGGTCAGCTGATCTTGGAGTCCTTCAAAGACAAAAACAAACCCTACAAAACATTATTTCACACAACCCTTCTCTGGACCATTTCACTGTTTTGCTCTCTAGCAGCAGAGCTATCATTCTACTTTAAAAGCACCATTAATATTTATCTTTGCTATGTCCCATTCCTCTCAAACTCAAGTGATAGTCCTTTCAAGTTTTTTCAAAGCAGATCATTTCCCAGACTGCCAGGTTACCAGCACAACTGATAGGACTCTAATTAAATTAAGAATTTGGGTGACTGAGGTGTCAATGTCAACAAAGCAAGAGGCCCACTAATGACATCAAATTTAAACAGAGCAGCCCTCTTTTCTGATCATTGCATTTGACAACTTGTCAAATCCTGATTTACAAAATACAGACTTTCTCAAACTCAGCACGAACACAGAAGCTAGATCTCTAGCTTAAAAACGCTCATCAAATTCTACTGGAGACATTAACCATGAGACAGGCCAGAAAGACATTTTCTGACACAGAGACATGCTGTTAGTCTTCACGGGCACTGCTTGACACTTGAAGCAGTGTGAATTTTCCTTAGCTTTAAGAAAACCCAAGGAGCTCTTTGTAGCTGGGGTCCTACACCCAAATACTCTGCTCTTCTGTTCAACACAGGCACAAGTCAGTGTAGAAAGTCCCAGGGATCACTGATCTCCCTGGATCACAGCACAGCAGTAGTAACTGCCCCCCTGCCTTGAGATTTGTAGGACACAAAACAAGGTTATTTGTGCACAACCCTTGAGCACCTCCAGTCTGCCACAGCTGCATGCACTTAAGATCTCCACAAGCATCCACGAACTGAAAGAGACCTGGCTCTGTGGAGCAGAGAACATCAGAGGTGCCTAGAAGTGCTCCTCTGGATTTTATAAAGACATTTGAAGTGGTTCATTTAAACTTCACGTTTCCTTCTTCACTTAGCTTCACATTACTTTCATATTAAACCTGGTTCAGGTAAAACAACATCAAGCTTAGAGCGGACATAATTAAAATAATTGTCAACGTAACTGGAAAGTTGTAAGTAAAAGCAAAGTGTTCAACAGAACCACAGGGTCGCACACTCATAGAAACTCAACAGCAGCTGTAAATAATTTTTTAAAGTAACTGGAAGATAGGTTGGTAAGAAAACCCTTCCTTCTTACACACAGGAACACATAGTTTTGATACGCTAATGGCTGACATTACTACTACTACATAGACCCTGAAAAATACACTGAAATTACAAGTTTAGTCTCAAGACAGGCAGGAGGTAAACAAGTTCAAATACAGAGTTTGTTATAGAGGTACACATTTAGTGTTTTTGTTAAGGTTCTTAAATCATGACTCACATCAGGGATCCATGCAAAGAGCACAGAAAGCGAGAACAAAAGAGCACGAGTCACTCTGGAAACTGTCAAACACTTACATGAATCTTTTATTGAAACTAAATTTTAAATCAACTGTGTTGTTGGTAACTCCAGTATTACAGGCTCTATAGATAGCATCCTCTGAGGAATCTAGCTGACAACTCTTTTCAGAAGTTTAAGGTTATTAAAGCCTTTTACCCCCAAAGCCCTCAAACAGATTTAATTAAAATTATTGCTTAACTCATTTTAATCCTAACACCTTTGCAAAAAAACCAAATATTTCATGGTGCTTTCTGTCTTGCTTTTACACAATTCATTAGAGAATTTCATGTTCCAAGATTAAGACAAACTGGATGGAAATCATCTTTAGCTGCTTACAGAGCCTGAAGGCCAAACATTCTTATTACCTAAACCCTAAATTAAACCAAACAGTTTCATGCCAGGTTACCTACATTAGTTTCAATGCCAGAATTTTGCAACACAAAGAGGATCTTTCATTAAATAATTTGTTGTATCTTGTACTTGGCAGCATAGAAATAAAAAGCATCATATTGTTGCAGGGGAAAAAAAAAGTTCCTAATTTTCCTCATTTTAGATTCTCACTAATTTATTCAAGCTCATCCCAGTAAATAAAAAAGTTATTACTGTAATGTTACATTTAAATGCAATAATTAAAGATTAATTATAAATCAAGTGTATATAGATCAATTAGAAGACTATTCCGTTAGCTGGGACAGGATTTGGGTAGAAATTCTATACACTTTCAACTCATCTTCAAGCCTGAACTTTAAGCTTAACTTGTGGGAGAAACCACTAAATAAGCAGCTATCTCGAGTTAGTTAATTCCTTTTGAAATTGTTTAAGAGAATATTAGCCTCGTATATTCTATTTGAGATCTTTTCTCTTTACACAAAGCAGAAGAGAAGCATCTTGCAAACTGGAATTCCAGCTGGGAGCCCCAGGGTACTTTAAAAAACAGCAACCTGAGCCTAGGCTTTTTAAACACGCTGAGTTATTCACTGGGACACAGAGTATTTAAGCACCATCAGGATAAACTCTGCAGTTAAAATGCAATTTAAGTAATTTGCCAGCAAATAGAACAAAAGAAAACACTTGCTTTCCATAAAAAGGAACATTAGGAGCTACTGACGGGATTGCCTGGCCTTGGTCTGCCACTCTGCAGCTCAGGAACTTGTTTCTTTTTTTAACTGGGCTAGGATGCCACAATCCAAAAAGGCTGAAAAGGTCCCACGACGGGGTATTTGAGCAGAGGGAGCCTCCAGCTTACCTGCACAAGTTCTCTTCCCATTTGATTTACCAAAAAGCTGTGTCAGCAGATATGGTCTGAAGCATATCTCTGTCTTCCCCCCCCAGAAGCTCTGGATGGATAAAGTGATCTGGCTTGGTGCTGCTGAGCAGGCACACCAGGTGCAGGTAGACACAAGTATCTTATTTGGAGGACATAAGATGATAGTAGAAGCTATGCCTAGAGTTCACTCATTAAGTGCTCACTGGATTTCTTCGCCTACTAGTGCTCACTCAAAAAGCGCTACTGAAGGGCTCCAGACCTGCTCTGGGTTTGTTGCAGTTTCATAGCACACTGACTTCTGAGAATGTAGAGCAGCTGCTTAAGACCATATCAGGAGTCCCAGCAGTTGAGAGAGGCAGCAATACAAAGAGAATTTACTCAGCAATACTACAGGGATACAAATGATGCAGCCACACAAAACTTATGAACAATCAAAATCTATATTAATCCAAAAATCTATTTCCAAACAAGCTATTTTTTACCATCACAACTTTGCTGGGATTAATATAAAGCATTTTTTAAAATGCTAGCACTTACCCAAATCTGCAGTTTCACCCGCTTGTCATTCCTATAAACTGTTTTCACTTTGAAGTCAATTCCTACTGTGCTAACGAAGGCTGGTGTGAAAGTGTCATCGGCGTATCTGAAGAGGAAGGATGTTTTGCCCACGCTGCTGTTGCCAATGATCAGGAGTTTGAACATGTAATCAAAGTTTTGATCTGAAGTATCTTTCTGCCTGTATCTGGCATCTGTTACTGAAGCCATCTAAGAAAACAACAAACATTGAAAAAGAACAGATTTAAGAGTTCAGCATTTGTTTTCCGTAACTGTGTACCATATGTTTAGCTTATCTCTCTTCTTTCTAGTATCATAACCACTATATCTGCTGAATAAAGATGAACACACCTTGAAATCTTCTTTTAAATCCTGGCTTTAAATTTCTACTATCCACTTGTACTGGTAAAATTTCCAAATCCAAGAAATATACCTGTTGCACCACTATGTTTAAAAGAATAACAGATGGCTATTGCAGATTGCTCAAATACTAGTGAGGAAACAATATTCTTATTGCACTGGCAGGGTGCTGCTTCTGTTGCTCCACTGAGCTAGAGTACTGCAACCAAGAACAAAAATCTTTGACAGTGCATCCAACTATCAATTCATTAAGCAGCCTCCAAAGCAGGTAAACCTGAATAATTCATTTTATAACTACTAGAGAAAATCTGCATTTCTAGCACATGCACCACCACCATTTTATTCTTCGAAAAGTTCTGCCCTCAATGTTTACAGAAATAAAATTAAAGAAAAAGCAATGGGAGAAGATGAAATATCAGGAATTTCAACTGACAACTTTGAATCCATCCAACACCTATCTGCTCTCAAGACTGCAATTAAAAGAAACAGTGCCTGCATAAAACATGACGGCTCAGTGGGGCTGCAGGCAGCGCTTGGAATGGATAAACTATCCTTTTTGATTATGGGGGAGGTAAGAGCCAGGGATGTTAGTGGGGTGGGGAGGGGGGAAGATGCAGCCTCAGAGATCCCTCCTTGTGACCCTGAACTGAATTCAGAAACGAAAAAGCAACTGCAGAATCTGAGACATCAAGACAGGTGGAAGTCACTGAGCAGCCCTGGCTGCTTTAACGTATGCAGCTCAGACACTCCGCGGGCGAAGGCAAGCCCCTGCCTTTTCATCTCTGTACAGACCAGAAGACAACTACGCAGACCAAATTACTACAGAGAGGAGAAGAAGAAAACTTTACCTTTTAACAGATATACCACACTTTTCATCTCTAATGCTGTTTCAAGATCTACCCCATGTCAAACAAGAAAAGGTCTCAGCTCCTTTTAACCACTCACGGGGTTGTGCAAACTGAGGCAACAACAGCACAGGTCTGATGAGCAGCTACTTGCCCACCAACCTAGGACATGTGCTACTTGTGTGCAGTGTCAGAAAGCACTGAGTGAAGACCAAAGTCTCTTCTTCCCCTGGCATCCAAAGAAATAAGTTAATTTTCCCCTCAACTCAGATTCATGTGCATCCTTGGCAACAAATCTCCCACCAACCTCTACTCTCACCATGTGCCCAAATACGGTCCTTCTTAGCAAGTCTCACCTGCAGACAGGACTTCACTCACCACTCACTGAAAAAACCAAAACACAACAGTTCAAAACTCACTGTGGTTAAACAGCTATAAACCAAGATGCTGTTCAAAGGCAGTTTAAACTGGGATGACAACCTAACTGAAATTCCCCACAGAGGGCAAGCAAACCAAAACCAACGCAGTTTAAACTTCAATAAAATACACGACAGTTTATCTCTGACTAAACACATGGAACTTTCTCACACAGAAAAGGGCTGGTGCAGCAGACATTTCCTTCGCAGCTTGCATTAACAAGGACAGTTTCTGAAGAACTTTATCCATAGCTCAATAGTCAACAGCTGCACTGAATGCAGTAAAATCTTCCCACAACTGGTTCTCTGGAGGATACAACACAATTCTGATAACACACTCTTCTGAACTTCAGCTGCTATTCAGTAAGACTACAGTCCTTTGCAAGCACTCCAGAAAACCCAGGTACAAATATTCTTCTCACCAGTGTATCAGAAAAGGGCTCTTCTACTCACCCCCTCTGGCTCTTAAGAGGAATTTCTAAAATGAAGAATTCAACACCCAACTGACTTCCACACACACACTCAGGACAATGCACTCACTGCCTCAGTTCAAATGCTAGAAATCTCAGCTGCAAAAATTAGGAATCCAGATGATGAGTTGATTTGTCCTATCACCCAGCGGTAAGACAGTAAGAAGTTCTCTATTTGAGTAATTTATCTTCCTCATACACATACATAACTTCCAGAAATGCTATTGAGAACACATGTGCGCTTATTAAAGAAGGAAAATAAATGTAAAATCTCTACTTCTCCATTCCACTAACAGAGGCTTGAAAAAAGTGAGATGCCCTCATCACTTGAAGCCTGGTCATTTAAAGATTCAGAGGCAGACCGTTAACAAAGAAGTGTTCCACTAATCATACAGGAATCAATATCTTCTTTCTCCTCCTGCCTTGGCAGAATCCATCTGCACACTCCAAGCTGATCTTTTAAATGAAACACTGCTGCTTCCATTAACCCCCCTAGATTGCTATAATCAACAGTGTACCTGGTTACAAATGCAACTTTCAGATCCCAGTTAAAAAAGCAATTACAGAACGTGGCCAGCTGGAGCAGCTTTGTTAGAAGCACAATGCAGAAAATAAGATCAAATGATACTCGCACAGAACACGGGGCTGTTGTCATAGAAGCACAACAGTGGCTGGCCTGCGCGTGCCACCGTGCTACGCCGAATATGCTGCAGGCCGGCTCCCTGGATCATTAGAGGCAGAGTCAGGAGCACAAAAATGTCAAAGAAAATTCCATTCCCTTGCTTAAATTTGACTTTTCCCTTTCCCCTCCTCAGGTCAATAGAGTGAGACTGAAAGGACTTCAATACTAATTACTGATTACTCCCCTGATTGCAGATCACTACTGAAACTGTACTCTATTTGCATTTGGGCTAAAAGCCTTCACAGGGCTGCCCTGGAATTTGTGCTCAAATCGTGAAGACAGGAACCAGCAGACCTTCCTCCCAATTCTCCTCCCTTCCTTTCCCCAACTTGTTGTCCCATCCCTGCTCCAAGCGCTCCCTAGTTATGCCGGTCCCAAGGACTGAGCAGAGAGCTGGTTCAGAGAACAGAGAGATCCCAGTTAAAAATAAATCCTCCTACAACTTGTCCTGTTTTTCAGGGCTGTTTTTAAAGTTGGTTCAGTTCCTGATCCAGCACAGCTGAGGGAGCCAAGCGGAGGGGACGGAGCAGTGGGAAGCGATGGCAGTTGCTATGCTACTGAGAGAAAGGTCCACGAAATCACATCTCCTGCAGGCCCTCTGCACCTGGCAGAGATTCAGCCTCGCGAGCGGAGGGAAAAGGCGACAACATGCTGATGTCGGGCAGCTGCTGTCCAACTCGTCAGAACAGCTTGCGCAGCCATAGGACCCAGAAGATGTTATTCTCTCCTTGGTGAAAGGCCATTTAGTTGGTAGCGTAAGCCCCTACTCCCCAGGTACACAACTACATATGCTCCTTGCTTAGGACGATCCCAAATGCAGCAGCATCTCTGGGGTTTTCCAAGCACGTGCAGGCTGACTAGGGTTTTGTGACAGAAGACCAAGTCAAATACAACTGGCACGCAGAGTGCAAAAGAGAGGCTCGTGACCGTTTCCATTTGGACTGCCTCAGAGTAATCCTCAAGAAAATACCAATACAGGAAAGATCTAGCTACATTACCGAAAACCCATTACACAAGAGAAGAAACAGCTGCCAATCAGATCGTCCTTGAGAGCACTTCACTATGAGACCTTGCATCTTTCAGTTCTTTGCCTGGGTAGCCCACTTCTTTGTAGCTAAGAGCATACTCATATTGACAACCTGTTTTCCCCATATGCTTTAACAATGGGAACAAGGTCTCAAACCCATCCACTTCCAGCTAGTTTTGCAAGAATAGGCAGTTATGTAGCTATGAGACACCTTATTATTTCCCTATTGAAGAAAAAGCCTGCAGTGTGAGCTCGTCTTTTATTAGACAGAGAAACCACATAGGAGGAGGATGCTACAAATGTTCTGCAGCAATAAAATCTTAATCAGAGCTTATTAGCCACCAAAGAATATGTTCCTCAGGCAAGGTGGCTCTCCTGCCTTTATCTTCTATTTTGGTCTAATGAAGTTTAAAAAAAAAAGAAGCCTGTCACCCTAAGACACCTCCACGGGAAACCAGTCTTCACTACTCTCAGTACTCACTGAAATGTGTCATATAGATGGCTCCACGCAGCTGTGCTCTTTAATTTGTGACCAAAATCATGGTGAAGAATCAAACTGTTCTATAGTGCAACACAAACCATCAGAGCATTACTGCTCTCACAAATCACTGAAAGTGGCCACTATTGCCCCAGTTCTCCAGTATTTACTGCCTGTGGGCAAATTCAGTGAAAAAGCAGCACAGGAACTGTCTAAAGCTGATGGTGTTGGCTAGAAATCAACTGGCATATCTCACCATTTATTTCTAGAAAAAAAACCTTAAGGTTGACTTCAAGTGTTGCCAGTCTTTATGGTTTTGGCTAAAAACTAATGGAGGGCTGTTCTTCTCTATCCACTCACAGACAAGAAACAAGGAATCCAATCATTACCTTGGAAGTTTAGGCATTTCCATGTTAGCAACCGCATAGGTCTGTTCACAGACATGACCGTTTCCACATGCCACTCTCTCACAACATTGCAAGGAAGAAGTCTGAATTGCCTTTGGAAAAGGATCTCCTTGTCTGCTGTCAGTCACCTCAATTAACCATGAAACATGGTCACACTGAAGGAACTCATACTTTAAAATACATGTGAAGGCATATCTGCAATTTCAACTTGTAATGAACCTATATCCTGTATATTACAAGTTCTGTCCATTTCTAACAGTAAAAACATCTTTTAAGGTTTGTAACGGCTTTATTTTTAGAGACAAAACTACATTTACTAAACATTTTTTGTTATGTTGGACCAGTGGCCATTTAAAAGTCACTGCTTAACTGTTTCATCATCATCCGCCAGCACACACACATTTCCTTCATTAGGCAGATGAGAAGATGGAGGTGAAACCACCCCTGTATATTTCTAAGAGTCAAAGACCTTCTGACAGCGTGCAGCTCCAGGCTGGGTCTAGCTTCGGTTTGTGTGTGTTCAGC